AGGCAGAGGGGGCGGCCGGCCTCCCAGCCGGGTGGGACGGGGTAGGGTGGGGCCAACTTGGCGGCCGGGAGGGAGCGCTGCGGGGCGGAGGGCGGACGGCAGAGGCTTTCCGGTCTTCCCAAAGTGTTACCCCCGACGTGGACGCGCGGCTGGACGGGAGCCCTTTCCCTCAGTCCCCTCCCCCGCGGTCTGTGTGCCACCTCCTCTTCAGGACCATCTAATAAAGGTTCCAGCGTCCCCGCCTAATTCATGGGTGCTGAGGGCACAGGTGCCGCCAGCGCGGGCCCCAGGACCCCCTCACTGCGCACCTCCGTTTTGTCAGGGGTTAGAATGCCGGAAATGCAGGACCATGGAGAAACAAATGTGTCAGGGGCTGATGTTTAGAACCTTATTAACCCGTCCCCGTGCACACCAAGGGAGGAGGGGACCCCGGCAGGGCTGCTGTGTAGACTGCTGGAGTGGCCAGAATCAGCAGAACCCGAAATCCAGGAACTCGGTCCCTGTGGCCACACCCCACCAGGCCGGGATCCTCTCTGCTCTCTGGTATGTCAGGCAGTCCTGGGCACCCCAGGCCGCCCCACCCCGCCTTTCAGCTCCACAGATTTTACAGACGTTTCTCACCACCTGTTCAAAAGAAAAACAACTCAGCCTCTGGATATAACCCTTCTGGGCAAACAGGGTCTTTTTTTTTTTTCTTCTACTCATAAAAGAAGAGAATTTCCTCATCTGGATTTTAGACTGAACACTAGCAGTCTTCAGAGCGACAGATCTGGAGACCTGCACGGTGCTGTGAGTGGTAGGGTCGCAGAGGGAGCATCAGTTGGTGTCCATGTTGCAAGTCTCGTCGTCGTCCCCCATGCCCTGCTGGGAGCTGCTGGGTCTTGTCCCCCCTTCGGAGGGACCAAGAAAACCGGTAAGCGATGGTGTCTCCTCGTCTCGACGCTGGTAAAACAGCACGTAAGCTGCTTTCGTCTACGACACAAGATAGAGAAGTCACTGGCAGGAAAATGCAGCCATTCTCCCAGCTTTTCTTTGCGCAAACCCTCGGGAATCTGCCACCTAGCCCCGCACCTCCACTCGCGGGCAGCTGTGAAGGCCTTTCCCCCATAGCTGGCTCCTGCTGCCCTGGCTGGGGCAGCAGCCAAAGACAGGTGCCCCAAGACGCAGAACCAGAGAAGAGTCGAGCTTATCTAGGAAGCGTCCTGCAGGTGTGGCAGTGGGCTGTTTCTGGACCACCGCCTGCTCCCACTGGTCCAGGATGACTGAGTAACCAGCTAGCCGCAGAGAACCCTGCCCAAGTCTAACTCATATGTGAGGGGAAGGGCCGGCGTCAGGGCCACTCACCACTATCTGGTCCTCAGAGGCCAAGGACACGTTGCTGTCGTCAAAGTAATACCACCTTCCATTCAGTTTGTTCTTCGCATATGCAGTGTCTGCCAAATCAATCAGGCTTGCATTGAAGAAACACACCAAGATAGGAGCAAAAAACTACCTCAAAAGAGAAAACCAACACTTCGAAACCGAAAATAATTTAATTTAGGGATGGATTCCCACATGGCCAACCGCGGTTCGAGTCCCAGACCTGCTGGTTTGAAAAATCATGCCCGTTCTGTGTTTGCGCATTCTCAAAATCTCAAGAGAAGGGGGGATTGTGGCATGGCCAACCCCGCAGGGGGATGGAGGAGGGAGACCTCTCACTTTCCCTTTCAGTGTCTCTCTCTCCAGTGAGCACACATATTCTAGGGCAAAAACCTACTAATATTTCTAAATAGATAAAAATTTCTTTTAGGGCCAACAGGTGGCATGGTGGTTAAGATGCTAAATCTCTCTTTGCCGAGTCCCAGACCCAGTGGCCTGAAAATCATGCTAGATGCACGTGCGTGCCTGCATATCCAAAATCCCGAGGAGTGGAAGGGTGGGAACTGTAGTGCGGCCAAGCCCCCACAAATTGATTTCTTTCCCTCTGTCTCTCCTCAGTAAGTATGCATGCCCTATGGCAAATTTTAAAGAATTAGTTTATATCTTAACACTCAAAGGCAACTCACTTTTTTTCTAACCTGACCTTTCTCAAAAAGGATCTAAAGGGTAAGAATGGTGCTGTCAGAGACCAAGGCTTTAAACGGTGATTTTGAGAAACTAATCCCCAAACCAGAGATATCCAGTATCAATCTTCAGGATGACTATGAGTGATACTCTAGAGCCAGGGAACCCAGGGAAGGAGCTGATACTTCAAAGATTAAGCAAAACAACAGCTTTCTGGGTCATAGTTCCCACTGTGGGTCCAACTGGGCCTAGGTACAACCTCCCAGGTGTCACGGATGAGAAAATGAGGCTGAAAACCTCCACGTGGGCCATGTTTATCCCTTAAAAGAGCAGCTAAAAAATGGATACCTATGACCAAGATGCATGAATGTAGACAGCAAAATTAACTCTGGGAGAGAAAGATGAGGCCAGTAGGGGTGTGGTGGTTCAAGTGGCTGGAGTGTGCGTGGCTGACCATGGTTAAAGTCCCGAACCTCGCGGCTTGTAAATCATGCTGGGGGTGTATGCGTGTATGCCCAAAATCCTGAGAGGAGAGTGGAGGGGAAGGGATTGTGGCGTGGCCATCCCCTTGGGGGTGGTGTGATTTCTCACTCCTCCACGCTGTCTCTCTCCAGCAAGTGCACACGTCCTATGGCAAAAACAAAACAAAACAAAACAAACAACAACAAAAAAACACAGAAAATATGACATCTTCAGAGATCACTAACAGTCACTTTCATAGGGCCCCCATTTTCACATTTTTTTGTAATTAAAATTTTTGCTACAGGGTACATGCACTCACTAGACAGAAACAGAGGGAGGGTGAAAAATCACCTCCCAGCAGGGATGGCCACACTACAATCTCTTCTGTTCTGTTCTCCTCTCAGAATTTTGGGCGCTCACACACCGTGCCCAGCATGTTTTTCAAGCCCCATGTCCAGGACTGGAACTGCAGCACCGTCCCCTCCACGGCAGGCAGTTTTCGTCTTGCAGCCTCTCTAGCAGATGGCAACGTGTGACCAGTATGGCCCCTACGATGTAGACAGGGGAACTCTGGGAGTTCTGCTGAAAGGGAAAGTTGTGCCTTTTTCCAGATGGCTTGGAGTGTAGATGTGACCTGAGACAGTAACAGTCCGGGGCCAGGAGATGGGACAGTAAGGAAGGAGGGATGGGAGGGCGAGCTGCTGGGCCGGCAGAAAAGGCTGCACAGGGCGCAAGCGTGGTGAAGGCAGTTCTGGGAACGGCTGTCAGTATGTGCAAATGGAAACGACACCGCCCACGGCATTTTCCCTTGGGGTCTGAACACTGGGCATGGCGGCAGCTGGCTGTAGACTTGGTAAAGGATGTGTGTGGAAAGCCAACTGCTTGCCACAATGTCACCAACATGTTCTTTTTGTTATAAAAGAAAACCAAGGGAACCAGCGATTGGTGTGGTGGTTAGAGTGCTGGACATGCCCACGTGGCCAACCACAGTTCGAGTACCAGAACTGGTGGCTTATTTTCTCTCTCTCTGGTCAAATTAAAATAAGTGGATGAATAAATAAAATTAAAAATGAAAATAATTCTTTAAGAAAATTAAAAATAATAATAAAAAGGAAACCTGGGGCCACCCAGCTGCACTGGCTCATGGGGAGGGCACGGCTACGTAATACTGGAGACACGTGGAGGCCTGCTCAGAGCCTGGGCTGGGCTGAGCCGGCACAGTCGTTACTAGGCTGGGGTGGGATCACAACGCAGCAAGACCCTGTCAAGGGTACCTGTCTCTGTATGTGTGACTCTGTCAGGGGTGCCTGTATCAGGGCCAGCAGGGGGTATGGTGGTTTAGGTGCTGGACTCGTACATGTCAGGCTGCCACTCAAGTTCCAGACCTGGCAGCTTAAAAACCACACCGGGGGGACCAGTAGATGGTATAGTAGTTATGTTGCCAGACTCTTACGTAGCCAACTGAGGTTCAAGTCCTGGACCTGGCAGTTTAAGCTCATGTTGGGCATGTGTGTGTGCAGGCACAAGATCTCAAGAGGAGAGGGGAAGAGAAAGGATTGTGGCATGGTCATCTACCCTGGGGAGGTTGATTTCTCGCTTTCTATTTCTCCAGAGAGTGGACGTGTTCTATAGCAAAACCTATTTAAAAAAAAAAAAAAAAGAGGGACCAACATATGGCGTAATGGTATGTGGCTGGACTCCCCTCCCCCCATGTAGTCAACCGTGTTTCGAGTTCCAGACCCAGTGGCTTAACCTCACACAGGCGTATGTGCCCAAGATCCCAAGAGGAGAATGGAGGAGAAGGAATTGTGGCATGGCCAACCACCTGGGGGGGGTGATTTCTCACTTTCTGTCTCTCTGTCTCTGTCGTTCTGGTGAGCGCATGCGCCCTATAGCAAAAACCTCTCAAAAAAAATAATAAGGGGGGTGTCTAGCAGGTGGTGTGATAGTTAGGGTGCTGGATACTCCCACATGGCCAACCACAGTTTGAGTCCCGGACCTGGTGGCTTGCTTTCTTATTCTCCTCAGCCCCGATGAGTCTCTCTCTGGTCAAATTAATATAAATTAATTAATTAAATTAAATTAAATTAATAATTATTTAAAAAAAAAAAAGGAAAGAAAACCACACTGGGCACATATGTGTCCATTCTCAAAACCCCAAGAGGAGAATGGAGGAGAAAGGATTGTGGCATGGGAGGTGATTTCCCACTTTCCTTCTCACTGTCTCACTCTAACAAGCACACATGCCTTCTAGCAAAAACCTAAACAGAAAGGAAAGGATGCCTGTGTGCATCTCTGTGTACGTGGGACCCCAGGAAGAGTGCCTGTGTCTGTGTACGTGTGACCCCAGGAAGGGTGCCTGTGTGTCTGTGTACACGTGACTGTCAAGGACGCCTGTGTGTCTGTGTATGTGTGACTGTTGAGGACGCCTGTGTGTGTGTGTACGTGTGACTGTTGAGGACGCCTGTGTGTCTGTGTACCCGTGACTGTCGAGGACGCCTGTGTGTCTGTGTACGCCTGTGTGTGTGTGTACGCGTGACTGTCGAGGACGCCTGTGTGCCTGTGTACGTGTGACTGTCGACGCCTGTGTGTCTGTGTGCGTGTGACTGTCGACGCCTGTGTGCCTGTGTGCGTGTGACTGTTGAGGACGCCTGTGTGTCTGTGTACGTGTGACTGTAGAGGATGCCTGTGTGCGTGTGTACGTGTGACTGTCGAGGACGCCTGTGTGCCTGTGTACATGTGACTGTTGAGGACGCCTGTGTGTGTACGTGCGACTGTTGACGCCTGTGTGCGTGTGTACATGTGACTGTTGAGGACGCCTGTGTGTGTACGTGAGACTGTTGACGCCTGTGTGCATGTGACTGTTGAGGACGCCTGTGTGTGTACGTGAGACTGTTGACGCCTGTGTGCGTGTGTACATGTGACTGTTGACGCCTGTGTGCCTGTGTACATGTGACTGTTGAGGACGCCTGTGTGTGTACGTGAGACTGTTGACGCCTGTGTGCGTGTGTACATGTGACTGTTGACGCCTGTGTGCCTGTGTACATGTGACTGTCGACGCCTGTGTGCCTGTGTGCGTGTGACTGTTGACGCCTGTGTGCATGTGACTGTTGAGGACGCCTGTGTGTCTGTGTACGTGTGACTGTCGAGGACGCCTGTGTGCCTGTGTACATGTGACTGTTGAGGACGCCTGTGTGTCTGTGTACGTGTGACTGTCGAGGATGTCTGTGTGTTTGTGTACGCGTGACTGTTGAGGATGTTTGTGTGTGTCTGCATCTATCGCTCCCATGATAGAAATAAACTTAAAAAAAAAAAAAAAGGAAACTCACACAGAAATCTTGGAAAACAAAGTACAGCACAGAGAAAAAAGTAAAGTGAGGATTTTGGTGTCTCTCCTTCCAGGCGCCCCACCCCACCACATAGTTTCCACTGTCTGGTTCAACACACTTGAGAGCACACCTGCTCTAAGATACAATGCCGTGCCGTTCTCACTCCCCCTCAGGGACCTGCTCCCGTGTGGTTGCTGACTGCACTTTGTAAAGGCTGAGTTCTGTTCCGTCAGGCAGAAGGCACAGGGCCAACTGCTGGTCACCAACGCCATCAGCGGGTACTAACCTGTTGGCTACAAACAGGTGAGGCCCTCTGTGAATAAAGCTTTTTCCCAATCTCGAGCTATTTCCTTAGGATAGGTTCTCAGAGCCGGGGTTACTGAATTAAATATGAACAATTTAAGAAAGAAAATGAAAATAACCAAAGGACAGCTGCATCAGAAAAGCGAGCCCGAGGCCTGTGGGCGCGTGTGGGCTGGCAGGCAGGTGCGCGATGACGACGGCGGAGGGCAGGCCAGCATCTCGGGGAGGCAGACGCCCGTACTTACAGTGGCCCACCCCCATGGCTCCGTAGTGGTTGGACACGGCAATGAGGTCGTACACGTAAGGCCGTGCGGACAGGTCGCAGACGAACTCGGACATGTTCAGAGCTCTGAGCACAAAACACAAAAATAGCTCCTGAATATCTTAAACCCAAGAAGATGTCAGGGTAACCCAGCACCCCTTTCATGCAACAGGCCAGAAAACAAGGAGGCACTCCAAAGACTGAGAAGGAATAAACTAACAGGAGACAACCGAGGGCCCTCGGGTCCAGGTTCCGACCACTGCCATGTTCAGACCAGAAAATGGGAGAAGCCTCCTAGGTAAGTTCAACACCAGCTCAAGCAGCAAAAAGAGGGTAGAGACAGACTAAGCTTCAGCATTTGTGTCAAAAAAGCTGTTGCTAACAGGATTACAGGGGCAGGTCCCATGGCTTACTGGTTAAGGGAACCAGATCCCACCTGACAGACCACGCAGTTCAAAGCCCAGACTGGGCGACTTAAAAAACATGTAGGGGCACATCTGTGTGAGCCCCAAATCCCAACAGGATGAAGAGATTTAGGAGAAGGTGCAGTGTGGCCATTCCCATGGGAGGTACTTCCTGCCCCTGTTTCTCTAAGAGCGCACAGCCCTCTAGCAAATTAAAAAACAGAACAAAATACCTAACAGGGTAAGTGGGGCCATTAATTTAAACTAAATACCAAAGTAGGCCTTAGAAAGCTCTCCCTTCCCTAATATTTTATTTTGAAAATTTCAAGCATACAAATTAATTTTACAACAAATACTACACAGATAATACCCTACCATGGCTATTAGTTCATGCAGTCATTCTTTCTGCCAGAAATTATGTCATTTCTTTTTATTTGTTAGTTATTTAATTTGCTAAAGAGCATGTGCACGAGAGAGAGTGTGTGTGCGTAAGCAAGCCAAGTAAGTCCAGGACCAAAACTGTGGCCAGCCATGTGGGAGTGCAGCACCTTAACCAGCAAGCTACCTGCTGGCTCCATCTCATTTATTTCTATTTTAAAACTTTTTTTTTTTTTAAATTTCCAGAGGATATGTGTGCTCATAAGAACACGCAAGAGAGAAAAAGCTGCAGAAGGCACCCCCCCCAGAGGCATATTGCAATGCATTCTCCTCCATTTCTCCGTCTTGTCGAGATTTCAGACAAGCACCTACACCTGGCCTGTTTTTTTTTTTTTTTTTAGGGGGTTTTGCTATAGGGGCACGGGGGCTGG